CAAATTTGGTGACGATCGGCTCATAATTGATCCTACACCCCATATTAGATCCCCATTAGAAAATGTCCCTATCGCTCTTAAGTGACTTAATAATAGCAGTAAGCGACGAAATTCGACACAAACAGGTTTTATAAGAACAAAAAATATCTGTACCAAATTTAAAAAGGATGGATTCAAAATTGACCCTTCCCCCCATATGGAGTCCACTTTCGAAAGTTCCGACATACAACAGGCTAAAATACAAGTATAGTGATGAAAATCAACACAAACAAGTTTAATAGGATCCAAAACATCATTACCAAATTTTGTAAGGATGGGTCCTTAATACGCTTTCTGGTCCCTTATTTATAGGCAAACATTTTATGTCAAAAATATATCAATCTTTCATAGATCACTGTCATTAAAACGTGCAATATATAAAAATTTATAATTTTTTGCACCTTTTTATAAAAAAAAGATTAAAGTTTAAAGTTTTGAGGTAGACTAAGTTTTTAGTATTTAACTGTATCAAAATTCTCCACATTATTAATTAATTACTACATTTTAAATTTCCAAAATATATATTTTAATTCGAAAAACACGAAAATTTCCGAATGTCTGATCATGATTTACATCTTATCTAATGGCACCTCGTAGGATCACTGATATGATACCCCATTCGTTTATAGGGAACTTTTCAATTAACACTTTAAAGAATTAAACAATATTAACTTGTACATGGAACAAATTCAATGGGAGTGATAGGTTTGTGTGGCTTTAGAAAGCTTAGATCATAACTTGTTGTTTAAAGTTTCAAAAATGACTCTAAATTTTCATTTGTTAGTTGGCTTTTTACCTAAATCTTCCAACTTGCTTTTAAACTTTGACAATTTTCCACAACACAAAGCTTTACTTTTTAAATTGATCAACTGCATTTCTAGAGATCCAATACCAATTTCAAATGGCTCGATGAGGATTTAATCTCAAATGTACAATTTTAGGGGCAAATAAAAGTAAGGAAATGAGCGAAGAGCTAATTGTGTTCTTTCTTTCTCACTCAAAAAGTATTTGTTTTTGTTTTGTTCATGTACAGAACGATTAAGAAAAGTTAAAAAGTTTTGTATATTGTAGAAACGTTTGCGAAGTGTTTTGTTAGTTTTAATACATTGCTCGTTAATCGATTCGGAAAGATTTTAAAATATGCACACAAATATTTTTTTATAAAATAAATAAAATTTGTGTATGAAACTAAAGAGCCACAGCTCCACATACAAAGAGCCGCATTTGGCTCGCGAGCCATGGTTTGCCGACCCCTGGTCTAGTCTATAGTCTAGTCTATAGTCTAGTCTATAGTCTAGTCTATAGTCTAGTCTATAGTCTAGTCTATAGTCTAGTCTATAGTCTAGTCTATAGTCTAGTCTATAGTCTAGTCTATAGTCTAGTCTATAGTCTAGTCTATAGTCTAGTCTATAGTCTAGTCTATAGTCTAGTCTATAGTCTAGTCTATAGTCTAGTCTATAGTCTAGTCTATAGTCTAGTCTATAGTCTAGTCTATAGTCTAGTCTATAGTCTAGTCTATAGTCTAGTCTATAGTCTAGTCTATAGTCTAGTCTATAGTCTAGTCTATAGTCTAGTCTATAGTCTAGTCTATAGTCTAGTCTATAGTCTAGTCTATAGTCTAGTCTATAGTCTAGTCTATAGTCTAGTCTATAGTCTAGTCTATAGTCTATCTATAGTCTAGTCTATAGTCTAGTCTATAGTCTAGTCTATAGTCTAGTCTATAGTCTAGTCTATAGTCTAGTCATAGTCTAGTCTATAGTCTAGTCTATAGTCTAGTCTATAGTCTAGTCTATAGTCTAGTCCATAGTCTAGTCTATAGTCTAGTCCATAGTCTAGTCTATAGTCTAGTCTATAATCTAGTCTATAGTCTAGTCTATAGTCCTAGTCTATAGTCTAGTCTATAGCCTCGTCTTAGTCTAGTCTATAGCCTAGTCTATAGTCTAGTCTATAGTCTAGTCTATAGTCTAGTCTATAGTCTAGTCTATAGTCTAGTCTATAGTCTAGTCTATAGTCTAGTCTATAGTCTAGTCCTATAGGCTAGTCTATAGTCTAGTCTATAGTCCTACCCCTAGCCTATAGTCTAGTCTAGTCTAGTCTATAGTCTAGTCTATAGTCTATAGTACTATAGTCTATAGTCTAGTCTAGTCTAGTCTAGTCTATAGTCTAGTCTAGTCTATAGTCTAGTCTAGAGTCTAGTCTATAGTCTAGTCTATAGTCTAGTCTATAGTCTTGTCTATAGTCTAGTCTATAGTCTAGTCTATAGTCTAGTCTATAGTCTAGTCTATAGTCTAGTCTATAGTCTAGTCTATAGTCTAGTCTGTAGTCTAGTCTATAGTCTAGTCTATAGTCTAGTCTATAGTCTAGTCTATAGTCTAGTCTATAGTCTAGTCTATAGTCTAGTCTATAGTCTAGTCTATAGTCTAGTCTATAGTCTAGTCTATAGTCTAGTCTATAGTCTAGTCTATAGTCTAGTCTATAGTCTAGTCTATAGTCTAGTCTATAGTCTAGTCTATAGTCTAGTCTATAGTCTAGTCTATAGTCTAGTCTATAGTCTAGTCTATAGTCTAGTCTATAGTCTAGTCTATAGTCTAGTCTATAGTCTAGTCTATAGTCTAGTCTATAGTCTAGTCTATAGTCTAGTCTATAGTCTAGTCTATAGTCTAGTCTATAGTCTAGTCTATAGTCTAGTCTATAGTCTAGTCTATAGTCTAGTCTATAGTCTAGTCTATAGTCTAGTCTATAGTCTAGTCTATAGTCTAGTCTATAGTCTAGTCTATAGTCTAGTCTATAGTCTAGTCTATAGTCTAGTCTATAGTCTAGTCTATAGTCTAGTCTATAGTCTAGTCTATAGTCTAGTCTATAGTCTAGTCTATAGTCTAGTCTATAGTCTAGTCTATAGTCTAGTCTATAGTCTAGTCTATAGTCTAGTCTATAGTCTAGTCTATAGTCTAGTCTATAGTCTAGTCTATAGTCTAGTCTATAGTCTAGTCTATAGTCTAGTCTATAGTCTAGTCTATAGTCTAGTCTATAGTCTAGTCTATAGTCTAGTCTATAGTCTAGTCTATAGTCTAGTCTATAGTCTAGTCTATAGTCTAGTCTAGTCTATAGTCTAGTCTATAGTCTAGTCTAGTCTAGTCTATAGTCTAGTCTAGTCTATAGTCTAGTCTATAGTCTATGTCTAGTCTATAGTCTAGTCTATAGTCTAGTCTATAGTCTAGTCTATAGTCTAGTCTATAGTCTAGTCTATAGTCTAGTCTATAGTCTAGTCTATAGTCTAGTCTATAGTCTAGTCTATAGTCTAGTCTATAGTCTAGTCTGTAGTCTAGTCTATAGTCTAGTCTATAGTCTAGTCTATAGTCTAGTCTATAGTCTAGTCTATAGTCTAGTCTATAGTCTAGTCTATAGTCTAGTCTATAGTCTAGTTCTAAAGTCTAGTCTATAGTCTAGTCTATAGTCTAGTCTATAGTCTAGTCTATAGTCTAGTCTTATAGTCTAGTCTATAGTCTAGTCTATAGTCTAGTCTATAGTCTAGTCTATAGTCTAGTCTATAGTCTAGTCTATAGTCTAGTCTATAGTCTAGTCTATAGTCTAGTCTATAGTCTAGTCTATAGTCTAGTCTATAGTCTAGTCTATAGTTAAGTTTATATTCTTGTCTATAGACTAAAAAAACTTACTCGAGCTGCTAACCTGACTCGATATACTTTGTCCTGCAAAGAGTTGTTGGTCGTTGATGGGGGAATCTCCAATTTCCGTTACCCGTTTGTCATGTTAAAAAATGCTTCAGTTACTGATACAGTGTCTGTTGCAAAACTTGCAACTGCCGTTTATGCAAATAGCTGTTGAATAAATGAAATAAATAGAAAAAAATCCCCTTGCAATTGTTGCAAAGTTTCTATGGCTTATTTGTTAATTGCTAAGTTTGATCAGGGGTAAACGACGGGTGTATTCAAAAGGTTTTAAATGGGTATCAACTACTAACATCTCTAACTGAATTTGCAAAACAATAAACAACGAAACTGAGCAAATAATCTCTACAACAACAGACTACTGATGCAGCAAATACAGCTTTGCTACAATGAATGTTTGTTTAGTTAGCGAGCTAGTCAGTCAGTCAGCCAGTCCGTCATGCATTTAGTCATGCTGTCTTTTAACATTTGTATTTAAATTTGCATTTGTATTTCACTTTTAATTTCAGTTTTGTTTAACTAATAACTGATATTCATCACCTCCCTGCTGCAACTTAGTATAGTTTCTAAATATTTAATTAATTTAAATGGGAATATGGGGAAAAAATAATAAATCCTTGTGAAATGTGGTTGCAAACAACTTGAACATTTGCCAGATGCGTTATTGTAAATCGTATTTATATAGTAAATATTTGCTTAATTTATCTAATTGTTGGAATAATATTTACAATTTATATGACAAGTAGAAAATCTGTATTAAATATGAGTTAAAGCTTCTTTAGTTCGTCCGTCAACAGAAGAAAGTCCACATCATAGACTGGTTATAGTTAAATCTATAGACTGACTATTGTCAGCACTAAAAACTGACAATAGTCTGGACTATAGACTAACTATTATCTGAACTACAGACTGAGTATAGTCTAGATCATAGACTGACTAGAACTCACAGGACTATAGACTGGCTGCAGTCAAGACTAATGGCTGGCTATAGATTGACTAAAATCCGAATCATGGACTTACTATACTCTGGACTATGTTCTGACTATAGTCTAGCCTGTAGATTGACTGTATTCTGGACAACAGTCATACTGTAGATTGACTATGGTTAAGACTACAGGATGACGATCGTTAGGACTATCTATCTAGTTCATTTTAGTCATTACAATCACGTTATAGTCTATGCCATCATTTCCCAATTGTTTATTTAATATTAATGTTTTTATATCTCTAATGACTAAATTAATTAATTCACTTTTATTATTTCTTTACAGTGAAGAGTAAGTACAAAATCAATATTTTACAGTTGAAGGGAATTATCAACAAACCACCTAAATGAACCACAAAATGGACCACATATCATCAAGGAATCTACTCAACGTTGGACTCGAATTCATTACCAGACATCATACCAACATATTAAGCTAACTAATGGATTTAAATAAGGTAAGTGATTTTCTATGGCTTCCTTTCTAACAGATTTCAGTAATCTAGTTATTAAAAAACAATCAAAATCTGAAATTCATTTTTAACATCGCCTTAATATTAAATGTACATACTACATACGACGAAGCAATAAATGCTTAATAAATAATTTATTTATTTCAAAATAAATCAAGTTGAAAATTACGTATAATTGAAGTGATTTCGTTTAAAATAAATTCAATCATTTCGTTTTAACAGAAATTGATTTTTAACACCAACAAAAATAACGTTAGTGATTTGTTTTACTTTTATTTTTTTTGTCATTTTTCAAATTACATTTAAACGGAAGGAAGGAAATAGATAAAAATGTAAACAATTATATTAAATGTCATTATTATACATATAGACACATGAACTCACGTGAACCACCACCCACAGGTGTATGTATGTATGTTTGGTGCTGTTGTGGTATCTATGGATAGACAAAAACTTATCGAAATTCATACTTAATGACAGTTACAATAACAAAAAAAAAAAAAAAATTAAAATATATGAATTTATGCACCTGTAGTGGTGGCATTAGATAAATATTATTGTTAGATGTGGTTGTGTAATTGTGGTTTTAATACAGGATATAAGTTCATATACACTTTGTCCTGTATTGGACAGTGAAAGGTAAACGTTTTCATACAAAGTGAAAAGATACGAAATTTGCAGTGTATGCTAGAGATAGTAGCTAGATTATATACAAGAACTAGACTATAGACTAGACTATAGACAACCCTATAGACCAGACGATAGGCTAGACTATTGGCTAGACTATTGGCTAGACTATAGACTAGACTATAGACTAGACTATAGACTAGACTATAGACTAGACTAGACTAGACTAGACTATAGACTATAGACTATAGACTATAGACTATAGACTATAGACTAGACTATAGACTAGACTATAGACTAGACTAGACTATAGACTAGACTATAGACTAGACTATAGACTAGACTATAGACTAGACTATAGACTAGACTATAGACTAGACTATAGACTAGACTATAGACTAGACTATAGACTAGACTAGACTATAGACTATAGACTAGACTATAGACTAGACTATAGACTAGACTATGGACTAGACTATAGACTAGACTATAGACTAGACTATAGACTAGACTATAGACTAGACTATAGACTAGACTATAGACTAGACTATAGACTAGACTATAGACTAGACTATAGACTAGACTATAGACTAGACTATAGACTAGACTATAGACTAGACTATAGACTAGACTATAGACTAGACTATAGACTAGACTATAGACTAGACTATAGACTAGACTATAGACTAGACTATAGACTAGACTATAGACTAGACTATAGACTAGACTATAGACTAGACTATAGACTAGACTATAGACTAGACTATAGACTAGACTATAGACTAGACTATAGACTAGACTATAGACTAGACTATAGACTAGACTATAGACTATACTATAGACTAGACTATAGACTAGACTATAGACTAGACTATAGACTAGACTATAGACTAGACTATAGACTAGACTATAGACTAGACTATAGACTATATAGACTAGACTATAGACTAGACTATAGACTAGACTATAGACTAGACTATAGACTAGACTATAGACTAGACTATAGACTAGACTATAGACTAGACTATAGACTAGACTATAGACTAGACTATAGACTAGACTATAGACTAGACTATAGACTAGACTATAGACTAGACTATAGACTAGACTATAGACTAGACTATAGACTAGACTATAGACTAGACTATAGACTAGACTATAGACTAGACTATAGACTAGACTATAGACTAGACTATAGACTAGACTATAGACTAGACTATAGACTAGACTATAGACTAGACTATAGACTAGACTATAGACTAGACTGTAGACTAGACTATAGACTAGACTATAGACTAGACTATAGACTAGACTATAGACTAGACTATAATAGACTATAGACTAGACTATAGACTAGACTATAGACTAGACTATAGACTAGACTATAGACTAGACTATAGACTAGACTATAGACTAGACTATAGACTAGAGATAGACTAGACTATAGACTAGACTATAGACTAGACTATAGACTAGACTATAGACTAGACTATAGATAGACTAGACTATAGACTAGACTATAGACTAGACTATAGACTAGACTATAGACTAGACTATAGACTAGACTATAGACTAGACTATAGACTAGACTATAGACTAGACTATAGACTAGACTATAGACTAGACTATAGACTAGACTATAGACTAGACTATAGACTAGACTATAGACTAGACTATAGACTAGACTATAGACTAGACTATAGACTAGACTATAGACTAGACTATAGACTAGACTATAGACTAGACTATAGACTAGACTGTAGACTAAACGATAGAATACACTATGTTATTGTTCGAACACTTCTATCCATGACTGTTTCACATTATTCTATTTTATCATTATTATGGTATTTTTATTCAATTCTATTTTCTTTTCTATCCAATAATTTTCTGTTCCAAGTGTCTCGTTTTTTTCTATTTTCGTGCAGTTTAGCAGTTGAATTGCTAAACGAAAAAATCCAATTTTATTCGTTTATATTTTTATGTCGAAATTGTAAGTGCGTGCGGAAAATTGTATTTGGATGCCTTTAAGGCTTCTTCTTACAACAAAATACAAAAAAAAAAACAAAAGAAAGAAAACACGGTTCGAGCCAAAAAAACAATTCTCTGGTACACGTTTTATGAACCCACAAATAGGGGAAGAAATTCTTCACATGTTCTTATATTGTTAAATAAACATGAGGTGCTATTTGAAAGAAAATGTTCAAACTTTTGCTTAAGGGGTGCCAAGGGTTTGTGAGGAAATAAGATAACACTTGATACAGGAATTTTTGGGGAATAACCGTTTCAAATAGTAGTTGGGTACCAGTTGGTACCAGTTTGTACCAGTGTAATCAAAGTTTATTGCACTAGACATTTTTTCCTTAAACTCATAAATTTGAAGACGAATAACCTTTAAAGTTATCATTTTCCTCCAGGTGCCTTTTATTGTTCTGCCCTGTTGTCTAATTTCAAATCATTATACATATTTATGTACTTATTATTTTTTTGTGAATTGTTATTACAAATATTCATGTATTGCAGCCCTTTTCTTTGGCATTTATCTAGGGCAAAATAAGCAATATAACAACAATAACAAACATTACTTCCTCTATTACAACAATAATACACAGAAAATATTAAATAAAATGGAATAAATGTAAATCATAATCGTTCTCATCATGACAGACGTGTGTTTATTCGTAATATTATGATAACAGGAAACGGAAATAAACATGCAGGGAAAATACAAAAACACACACACTCATTCCTACGAAAACGTACTCACACACATATACGCATTTGGCAAATATTTTAGCAGAGATGGAATTGATTAAGATTTTTTTGGTAAAATTCAGAAAATTTTAAATTTTTTTTCTATTTCTTTTCCATTGTTGTAACAATCTAAGTGCCACACATTAAACGTTCATTCAGTGGAATCACATCCATATGCCTTCAAATGTCTCGCGTATGTGTTTTCAAAATATTTTGGCGGTTGTGTGTTCATTTAACATTTCAATCTAAACTTTTTTTCATTTATTTTCTATTTGCCACAAAAATGGCAACAGACGTTTTCGCACGTACTCTCACGATTATAATGTTGTACAACTGACGAATGTTATGACTTGGTTTTCTGGGCATTGTGTCATGTCAGAGTTCGTGTGTGGGTAACTGTTTGCGTATGTAAATTTGTGTGGGTGTTTGTTTTTTAGAATCAAATATTTAAAATTTTGAAAAATTCATATAGCTGAATGTTACGTTTAACATACGCTTTTAAACGTATGTCTGTAGATATTTGTTTTTGAAAGGTTTTTGATATAACAGACTGTGTATTCTTTACTTGCACTTGTGTTTGAAATTTAAATTTGGAGAATTCATTACTTTTTTAAAGAAACGTAAAAAAACATGTTTCAAAATACATATTTTGCCACATTTCTAGGAAATTTTAAACGGGTTTTGTGAGCAAAAATCAAGTTTTTTAAAAATATTGCTTTGCAGAGGAGGGAATAAATTATGAATTACATTACTGGCATGTAAACGTTTAAAGTTGTATCAAATAATCTTTTATAATAAGAAATACATATATAAAAACATCCTATAACATTAGAGCTGAATTAAACTGAACTAAGAACAGAACTAGAACAGAACTAGCACAGAACTAGAACAGAACTAGAACAGGAACTAGAACAAACTAGAACAGAACTAGAACAGAACTAGAACAGAACTAGAACAGAACTAGAACAGAACTAGAACAGAACTAGAACAGAACTAGACAAGAACTAGAACAGAACTAGAACAGAACTAGAACAGAACTAGAACAGAACTAGAACAGGAAACCTAGAACAGAACTAGAACAGAAACTAGAACAGAACTAGAACAGAACTAGAACAGAACTAGAACAGAACTAGAACAGAACTAGAACTAGAACAGAACTAGAACTAGAACTAGAACAGAAACTAGAACAGAACTAGAACAGAAACTAGAACAGAACTAGAACAGAACTAGAACAGAACTAGAACAGAACTAGAACAGAACTAGAACAGAACTAGAACAGAACTAGAACAGAACTAGAACGAAACTAGAACAGAACTAGAACAGAACTAGAAACAGAACTAGAACAGAACTAGAACAGAACTAGAACAGAACTAGAACAGAACTAGAACAGAACTAGAACAGAACTAGAACAGAACTAGAACAGAACTAGAACAGAACTAGAACAGAACTAGAACAGAACTAGAACAGAACTAGAACAGACTAGAACAGAACTAGAACAGAACTAGAACAGAACTAGAACAGAACTAGAACAGAAACTAGAACAGAACTAGAACAGAACTAGAACAGAACTAGAACAGAACTAGAACAGAACTAGAACAGAACTA